TGCTTGCCGGAGTGGCCAACTGCGTTCTACATGCAGGCCCTTGCCCTCTCTAAACTGGGGATGGAAACGGATGCCCAGGACATGCTCACTGATGGTTCCTCCTTTGAAACCAAGAAGCTCAACAGTTGGCGAAACTAAATGCGGCTATGGTTAACCCAACCCCCAGGTTAGATATATAGTTAAGCTGTGAGTAGGGTTATTCTATTTCTACCTGTATTTTGATGGTGATGAGAGGTTAGCATTTACCCAAAATGAAAAATCAGCCTCTGCTGTAGTAAGCTCATATAGTTTCCATATGCAAAGTGTATAGAGCGCTAACTGGCTCTCTCTGAATAATACAGTACTGGTTTTTAAATCTTAAATCTTAACATTTCTCTCATTTTATTTGTGTCACACTTCAAATTGTCAAAGGAATGGACTCAAGATTAAGCTGATGGTTAGAGACACAAAGAAAAGTTTTATCTGGTTCGGAGAACTGAACTTGTGACTTTTGCCCACAAAGTTTAGATACCATGTCAATAATCGATACAATCAAATGCTTAAATTGATGGTTAGGCTCCCAGGTATGGATGCCGAATGAGCGATGCAAAGTTGAGGTTGCCTCCCTTTCTGCGTGAGAATACCGCACCCCTCATGCAGGAAAGCGGAAGAACGGCATAGCCACCACCCCCCATCTTGTTTTTTTCTTTTTTTGACTCGTTTATTCTTTCCGTGCGCGGCAACCACATCACTCATTTTCTATCTTCTTCCTCTTTCCCTCTCGCTGGTGACATGGCCTTTCCAGTGCGGCAAGCATACCGCTTAGTCTTAGAAGTGTGGGGAGTAGACTGTTGTTCATTGGTGTTGCAGTTTATTTCACTTATCGTATTTTATTTTGTTTCATTATTAGGTTTTTTCAATCTTTCTGACTTGTCCTGAAAATTGCAATGTCATGAAACCAAATCAAATTCAAGCGGAGTTGTAAACCCACGAAAGGCTTTATACTCTAACATGCCCCTTAACGTGCAGGTGGGATTAGTGTTCGCCCATAACGTGCGAGCGAGATTAGTGTTTGCCCAAGTTTGTACGCGAAGATTAACTTTTAAAATTGGTTGACAATGAAGTTTGAACCCGTGATATCACGTCAAGAAATTATTTCAATCAAAAATTCAAGTTTATGATTGTACAAACATGCTTCTCAATCACAAACTTGAGCCTATAAAATCTTTTCTGAGTCTACAATCACAAACTTGAGCTTTAGTTGGTTTCTTGATATGATATCAAAAGTCTTGTTGACTTAAAGGTCTCAAATTTGGACCTGATGTCACCCAATTTTAAAAAGAATTACATAATTTACTTGTTCATTGCTCGAATCAAAATAAAAAAATTTCTTATTCTTATAATCATAAGCTTGAGCTATTTAGCCATGTTGGTTTTTTGACAAAAATTCAATCATATATAATACTTAGTACTTTTTAAACATAAAAATAGAAAGACTTTATACGGAGTATAATACTACTCTCTCTGTCTAAAAAATGTCACGGTTCACTATTCAAAGTTTATGAGATTTTTTGTTTATTTGTACGTTTTTATCGATTATTTGGTAAAATAAAATATTCTTGTCACTTTTATTCTAAAGAACTTTTGATGTTTTTAACTAATGAGATTTTATTCTTATTTTTATATGAATCTTTAAATAAAATTAATTTAAAAAATTTGAAATTTTACTTCGTTTGGGGTAGTGTAACCTTTTGAGACACATGAATCATAATTCTAAGTTTCTAACACAGATCGAATGTGGTATCATCATAGTGACGTGTTTGGGTGGGGTGTCTTTTTTTGTGTATACAGTTGTTGAGATGCTGTGTCCTTTGGGTGTTCGGGTATGGCTTTATTTGGGGTTTTAAGGATTTAAAATCAACCCTTCATATTCTTATTATGAGGCCAACTCCCATTATACTCCGTATTTTTTTTTGAGAGAGAAACATAGAGTACAAAAGTTCATTACTCAATCAAGAATATGACAAATGACTCACCTTATAATATATGGTTACAACTTGCAAATTGTACAATCCACCCAAACTTATTCTTGGAATATTTTAGACATTTCAAGTAAAGTAAACATGTTTCATGCGATGCGTAAAAAAAATTGAACAGTTTTTTTTGAAACGGTATTATACATATCGTGATTTATGCAAACTATCGTTTGATGCTTTTCTCAGATGGGCAGTGTGGTAATTTGAGGCAAATTACTTGAATACGTAACAATGTAACATCATATGTTGACGTTAGACCGTCCGTAATGTCTCACGGAGCACTTCTGTGAGTTGAGATGGCTATTCTTCCCATTGAACACCGCCCCCCTTGTGTCCGTGAGTCATGCACTGTGGCACCATCACGGAGAGAAAGAGTGGAATGCTCCGTTTTTTTCTTCTTTGTTTATTTCTTTTGTTTTTTTAGTTGCTTTCTCTCTTTTTTGTTTAATTATTTTAGTTGCTTTCTCTGATCTTCTTTTTTTCTGTTTAGTTTTTTTGCAGGGTAAATTTTATTTCATTATTATTTTTTTCATTTTTATTGTTTGTATTTAGTTTTTTAGTAGTATCTTATTTAAGAAATGTTTAAAAAGTTATTTAACTTCTTAATATAAAAAATAGATAGAATTTAATTTGAATAGAAATATTATTTAAGATATTTTCTTTTTTGGTTCAATATTTTGTTATAATATGAAAAAGGAAAAAAATTAATAACGAAAAATTAATAACAAAAATATAATAATATTAACGAAATAAGTTTGTATTAATTTGCATTATTAATTTATAAATGATATAATTTAATTTGAATATAAAGAGGAAATTATTTATAAAATAAATAAAAACGTAATTATTATAGTGGTGGTGAGACATCACAGGTGTGAAGTGAGTGATATGGCGTATAGTGACTGCCGATTTAGAGTGAGTGGTGGCAAGATATTACAGATAACTTTAGGGGTGTTACGTAAATGATGATTAATAAACCATTCGTTTTCATTTTAAATGTGATTAGATTTTATTCATCCACCTAAAAATGATTTTATAACTAATTGATATAAAAATAAAAAGAACAACATATATATTTAAAAATTATATCAAAAATTTACAAAATAAATGATGATAACAATAATTTAATGTATTACATTATTAATGAAAAATACGTAAATTATAGTTATTGAAAACATATAATGGTAGAGTGGAATTGAAAACATAAAGGGAGATTATTTTTTTTTTGGTAGGGGGGAGGGAGTGTGTGGATGGAGCAATATATTCGATTACCTCATGTTATCGTGATGGCCTGTATAAATAGTACTAATGATGAGTGATGACTCGTTTATACATATGCATATACATAAATACATACATACATACATACATACATACATACATACATACATACATACATACATATATATATATATATAATGCTTTGAAATGATTTTTACTTTTGATTTTCTCATTTCATATATTTTTTTAAAATTTTAAATTTTAGATTTTATTTTTTTAACTTTTATTTTTTATTCTTTTACATTTATTATTGAATATCTTTCAAAAAATGATTTAAAAAATTAATTTTTTTTTAACAGCCAAGTTCAAAAGCTACTCTTCTTGACTTTTCGGATCAAACATCCAAGTGAAAAAGTCATTAGCCAACTAATGATTTGGGTTGTTCGGTTAGTCAAAAAAAGCTAAAGTTAGTGTTAGAGTGCATCACACATCGGAAGTCCAAAAGTAAAATAATCTGGTATATAAGCTCTTGAGTTAAACTAACTAATCGATTGGATTCAATCTTTTAATGTAGTTCAACCCAAGTGTCTTATTACCCAATCCAGTTGTCCATACTCATCCCAAATTCTATCATGGTATCCGAGTATGTTTTGGCTCACCTCGTTTGTCAAGGTGTCCAGTCCGTCTAGACGTTCATTCCTAGCGGCCCGTTTGTCTTTAGCCTAGTTGTCGGTATGGAGTATGTATCCAACGGCCTGTGGCCCGTTTAACACGATTGCTCGTCTGGAAGTCCATACCCAACGGCTCGTGGTCCTTTAAGTGTTGGCGCTCAAAAAAATATCAAGGGAATGAGAGTTCATTTGCAAGTGGTCAACCGGTTAGATTCAAAATGACCCGGTTGTCCACTTGAGGGGGAGTGTTAGAGTGCATCCCACATCGGAAGTCTAAGAGTAAAATAATCTGGTATATAAGCTCTTGAGTTAAACTAACTAATCGATTGGATTAAAATAATCTGAAATATAAGCTCTTGAGTTAAATTAACTAATCGATTGGATTCAATCTTTTAATATGGTTCAACCCAAGTGTCTTATTACCCAATCCAGTTGTCCATATTCATCCATAATTTTATCAGTTAGTCAAATATGTCAAAAATGATCCGAAATGGTATTTTCCATACAAGGCCATCGTGTAGTGGTGTGTCGGGTCCCAATTCTGCTGCCAAAGCGGTTATGAATAATTCTTTTAGAATGTTTTCGATAGAATATTTATGCGATTGGTTTTGAGCTCTTTTTTAAAAATTGCAAATATAATGAATCAATTTCTAACAAAATGAAAATAAGCATTAAAAATACAAAAGCAACAAACTAAATAGATATCGGTTCTGGTACCAAAAATTGAGAACCCAGACCTTTCCCTGACATTTTGTTTATCACTTTGATACAGCACAAGGGAGAGACACACCCTAAAAGCTAGTTGTTAAGGTGGGAGAACCTTTGGCTATATAAACCCATTATCAAGTCCCCCATTTAATTAGTGTGATCGAATGAAATCAGTCTGTATCATTCGACCCCCCATAAGGCCCAACGTCCTCGTTGGTCACGACTACATTGGTCACGGCTGGTTTCACCAAGCCACCGCTCCGTGGCCCACCATGCCGAGTTGGCTTTGATATCATTGATACAACACAAGTAAGAGCCACACCCTAAAAGCTAGCTATTAAGGTAAGAGAACCCTTAGCTATATAAACTCATCACCAAGTCCTCCATTTAACCAGTGTGATCGAATGAAATCAGTCCGTATCACACTTTATATAATCACACTTTTTTGTGTGTACCACTTCATATTGTGTCGTTTCGTGTGTCATTTTTATGTGAGATTCTAAGTAATATAGTGATGGAGGACAACCCTAATCATGATTTGCCATTTCTTAGTGACAAAGAGTATTAGATAAAGAGAGGAACCCAAATTGGATTAGGTAAAGATCCCGGGGATTAAGGACTACGTGCCCTACAAGAAGCGAGGTGTCCGCAAGGGAGAGCCGTCAATTAACTGAACTCTCTCGATCTTCCTGTCCGCATATTTCGTCGTTCATTCTCATAAATAATTCACATTAATTAAGACGATGTGATCAAACAACAAAAATAAATACATATGAAACTACTTTGTCCGGCCTTTTGTGGAGGGGAGAGAAAATCAAGATTGACTATTTATTCCATTTTTCAAGGGATAAAA